TATCAGGTCCAATGTCAGTCGGTTCTGCAGTACCATTGTCCGTATGGCTTTCTGCTCCTTTGCTAGGGCTGTCCCAAGGGTTTTGGTCAGATTTATGTCTCCGTAGGGCGTATCGGTTGATCTCCACATGATCACGCACCTCTGCGACTCCAACATTTGGGACTAGGCTTTGGAAGAATTTGGAATTCTCGTGGCACTCCAGTATCCACCGTCACCCCGAATGCGTTTGGTGAGGCCATATTTATCTCACATTTATTCTGGTTTCTTGGGTGGTTTTCCAGCCTATCCATGAAGAATATGTGGTCTGACAGTTTAACCAGGGTGCACAGCCCGCCCCATCCTGCTGGGAGTGAGAGAAAAGCTTTGTGTCCGCACAGGAAGTACCAGTCGGCTAGGACTTGTATTCCCTTCGGGGTCTGGGCCATGGATGAGCATCTGGTTAAGTTTTGTTGGTTGTCCTTAAGTGGGAACTGCCATGAGGTATTCCAAGATTTTCCTATCGTTGTTCAGTAAGAATAGGTACAGTTACATAGTCGTCCTGGTAGCCATCATTCGTTGAACCGTTTCCAGCGAGACAAACGGGAAAGGTTGTGTCTTTGAGGTGATTCAGTAGCACTAGATTGGGTAGTGGCTCCTGGACCTGTGGCCAACCCAACAGGTCATCATTCGAGACCCATTTCTCTGTTGTGCAGTTTTTCCAGCCTTGGATTGTGGAGCCATACGCGACCATGTTTAGTGGGGTCGAGAAGTCAGTGTTCTTCCTGTAAATCCAGGGTGTGTGGCCATTAGTTACTTTTTACAACATGATTTACACCCTGAATAGGTGATAAAGCGATAGATCTCTCAGCCCAATTCTACTTTTTCTGCATAACCCATCATACAAAATGTAATCAAATGGAAAAGTCTCTTTTTAAAACTTGTTTTATTAGTTTTAATCTTTTAACTTTATGCATCAAGCAAACATTAAATTATCTGCAACATTCACTGACTGGAAGAAATTCAAATCTATTTTCTGCACATTCCAGCACATAAAATAAAATTGTTTTTTGTGTTTATACTCAGTCTTTCAAATAAATGCAAGTAAAACACAGCAGAAAATAAATAAAGTCAAAGACTCAGCGGTCCTGTTGCTCTATTTTCACCTGTATAGCAGGAGTGCGGCAGGCAAAGGTTTGCCCTGGTGCAGGTGTGTCGTAGCGGTCAGTGGAGGGATACGGCAGCTTCTCTGTGAATGTCACATTCCCGTATTTGGTGCTTGCTCAGACGTTTAGGGTTTTTTTCGCTGTAAAAAGAAGTTTTCTTCCCACGCAGTGAGCAGCGGACACTAATGTTTTTGTCACTTTTTATGGAATCAAACTCAAAGTAAGGTCAGTTCTTCCACGCTTTAAATGCTGCACGCTCATACTCTCTCTGCACTCGATATATGATCCATTGTTGATCTGCACACAGCTGTTGTCACAAACGTCGCACTCGCTTACGTCACTGTCAAGACGCAAAAGAAATCACGGTTTTAGTAACGCAGTAACGCAGCGTGGTTACGTGAAAGTAACAGTAATCTAATTAACAAGTAACCCGTTACTGCCCATCTCTGGTTATATGCAACACACAACAGCCCACACAGGCCCCAGATTAAGAGTGTCTACACACACTGACTTGGTGAGCTCAGATAGCACAAATAACATGTTTCTAGCATCCCTCACAGCACCGCCTGTTACTGTAATCACCATTAAAAGCATTACACACAAGTAAACTTTGTAGCTGCTCCCATGCACCGCTGTTTGTCGTACACAGTGAAAGGCAAATACAAATGTACATATACCAATAAGACTGAGCCACTGATGTGGGGGTGTTGGACTGCACACTGCATTATTATTAACGTATTAACACCTACACCCTCATAATGTCGTGAGAGAGTCAAAAAGTGATTTATGGTGTTGTGTTACTTTACTGCTCCAATGAAACAGGAAGAGCTTATTTTAAAGTACAGATTTTGCTACTCTGTGATCTTGGGATTCGAGCCATTTCTAGGGACAATAATATTTATGTTAGATTCTGTTTTAATTGAAGATTACGTATTGAAATTTCAGGAGCAGGGCCTCCAAACATGCTTCTTCACGTCGTCATCTCTATAGGTTCCCCCAGTTCTGCAAGCTGTCCATTCTCGTTTACGTGCAAACAGGGTCCATTCTCGGCGAATACCTTTAACCCTTGTGTGGTGTTCGTATTTTTGTTACTCAGCCAGTGTTCATGGGTCTGGTGGACCCGCTAGAGTTTTGGCTTTCCAAATGAACACTATCAAACAATTTTATGTTAAATTACTCAACAGATGTTTACTTCATCCCAATTACAAGACATATGAACAGCAAACATGGTTAATTTTTTCCCTTTACCTTTGTTAGATGACATTTATGAATTAATGTGCTTCTCGTTTTTCTTTTATATAAAATGTTATAAATAAATCAGTTATAATCAAGTGGAGTGAGTGGAAAGACACAACACATTTACACGTGAAAAAATAATTAATTGTTTAATTTTTCTTTTGACAAAAACTGAACACGGGTCTCACAGACCCGAACACCATACAAGGGTTAAACACAGCTTATCTCTCAGGAGTAACATGATTTTACCGTGATGTTTTCCATCCTTCCTTTTGCTAAATGCTCAAGCAAGTTTGCACTGGGACGCCAGGTTATTCAGCAGCAAGCTTCCTACCACTGAACTGTCAGTTTCTCAGTAAAAACCAAAAAATAAAAAGGCACAGAGTTGCCAGTTCTCCTTCCCTCCACAGGAAAACGCAGTGTGCTTCGGCACCGATTTGCCAGGTTCCCAGCCTCTCATCCCTCCTTCGCAAATTCTGCAGCATGCTTTGGGACAGAGTTGCCAGGTTCCCAGGCTCTCATCTCTTCCTGGCTAAATTCTGCAGCAAACGTCGGCACTGGGTTGCCAGGTTGTTTTATCCCTCATTCGCAAAAGCAGAAGCAGCAAGCTTTTCGACCATTGTGTTGCCAGTTTCTCAGCATAGTTTTTTTTTTTTTAAAAGGCACTGAGTTGCCGCTACTCCATCCCTCTGTAGCAAATGCAGCATGCTTCGGCACCGAGTTGCCTGGTTCCCAGCCTCTCATCCCTCCTCTGCAGCATACGTCAGCACCTGGTTGCCAGGTTCTCAGCCACACATTCCGCTTCTGCTAAACTCCACAGCAAAAGTTGCACCAAGTTGCCAGGTTCCCAGCCACTCTTCCCTCCTTCGCAAAATTCTGCAGGAAACCTCGGTACAGAGTTGCCAGGTTCCCAGCCTCTCATCCCTCCTCTGCTAAACTCTGCAGCAAACGTTGGCACTGGTTTGCCAGTTTCTCAGCATAGAGAAAATAAATAAATAAAGAAGGCACTGGGTTGCCAGGTTTTCCTTCATCCCCCATTTGCAAAGCAGCATCTAGCTTCCATACTACTGAACTGCCAGTTTCTCTGCATCTATCATTGCAAGCAGCGGGAAACCCTTCTAGCACTGGGGTGTCAGGTTCTTGCTATATCTGCCATTTGCAAACTGCAGCGATAAGCTTCTTAGCCCTGAGTTGCCAGTTCCTGTCCATCCATCATTGGAAAGGCAGTGGAGAATCCTTCAAGTTGGTTCCTTCTATAGCCATCATTCGTAATCACAGCAGCAAGCTTCTTCCAACATGTTGCCAGTTTCTCTACATCCATTATTGCAAAGCAGTGGTAAACCTCTTTGGCACCAAGCTACCAGGTTCTCTCTTTATCCCTCATTTGCAAAAGCAGCAGCAAGCTTCTGTCAACAAGTTGCCAGTCTCTCTACATTTACATCACAAAAGCAGCAGTGATACCTAGCACTGGGACACTAGGCTCCCTGTTTCCGTCATTTGCAATTGCAGCAGCAAGAGTAGTAATATACCTATACTAAATTCTGGGTCTTTTTTTCGGCTTCCATCGAACCCGAACCACAGAAGTGAAGGTGAGCTATTTACACAGGGTGAATAATATATAATAGCGCATGCAAATGGTAATTTTTGAAGTGATGAGGTATTACACTTTACTTGTATTGCTTGCATCTGTGTAATGCACCATTACTTGAAATGAAACTTTGAATCTGTTGCTGTCTGTTAACCGTCTAGACAACTGCCGGTAAGTTGCAATGAAATGTGCTCGTGGTGCGCTTTTTATCAGTCAGCATGCATGACCAGTCCCGGACTGGTAATCGGAACACTGAGGTCGTGTCCAAATTCATGGGCTGAATCCTCCTGAGGACCCGGCCTTCGCGGGCTATGTGGGCCGGGTCCTCAGAAGGTCGGGTAGGCCGGATGTAAACCTACGTTTAACCCGAGCAGCGAAAGTCCGCGATGATCTGAAAATGATGTGCCGGGAGTTGTGCTGTTCTCGGCGGCTCTAGTGACCCTCGAGCTCCCGGCTAGCTATCGAGCTGGTGGGTAGCAGACGTCTCTGAAAACGTCGAAGCACTTTTGCAAATATGCGATATCTTGATAAACCGAGCAGATATTTGAAGTTTACACACCCACATTCTCGCATGAAAATATGTTAAAAGTTTATTATGTGACCCAGAAAGATTAGTAAGAGTAATTTTAAAACTTAGTAGCGGCCGCCATTGCCGGAAAGTTTGGCTGGGCCGCGCTATGAATTCTGGGATATGGTGGGCCACGAAGGACACACCTGACTTCCGGCTTGAGTGAACGCTGGCGCGTCTGGCTGCCGCTACTCACCGGTTCATTTTTCGATTATTTGGATTTATTTGGATTAATTGGATTAATTGGATTCAGATTTGAATGAACAGGGACATTCACACTCAGGACCAGATCGATCCCTGCCTGGGACTGAATTGCAAGGCTTGTCCTCAACTTCTGTTATTTCAGCTGAATGTGTTCTCACGTCTTCTTCTCAGTGAGCTGCACTAGCTTAACTGTTTGGGCTATTTTAGCCTACCTGTTCGTTGCTCCGGCCGGCTCGGCTCCTTTTCCTCCACACAATCGAAGATGCGGACCAAGATGTTCCTGAGCTGGTCGGCACTATTTTGGATTCTCCTGACGCTCGTCTACCATCCTACGGCTGGACTGCTCCGCTATACACCCGCTGAGCTCCTGCGCCTTCGCGGGCAGCTATCGCTCCCGTCGCCGGCGGAGCTCCACTACCACCCAGGCATCACTTTCCAGCCTCGTCGGAGATACATCCATCGCGGGTCCCGCAGGATTTTCCATAACTCCAATGGAACTAAATCGTTCTGGTCTGCTACT